CCCTCTAGCCAATTTGCCACCCACCGGACTGTGTAGTCATCCAAGTCACAGCCTCTTAACTTGTTCACCAGTATGGGGTGGGATACCATATCGAAGGCCTTCCTGAAGTCTAAGTAAATGACGTCAACCCCTACTCCTGCGTCCAGGTGTTTTGTAACCTGGTCATAAAAAGAGACTAGATTAGTCGGGCATGATCTACCTGCTACGAACCCGTGCTGGTTTCCCCTCAGCATAATTTTTCCTGCCAGGCTCTCGCAAATGTGAGCCTTGATAATTGTTTCAAAGACTTTGCCTAGGATGGAGGTGAGACTGACTGGCCTGAGACTGACTGAACCAGTTGTGTCGTAAGTCTGAGGGCTGCCTGTACTGAGTATATATGCTGCTTTTAGCAGCAGTTCAAAGATAGGCAATGTATTTAATGTGGTTTAATGTATGCAAATGTAAGACGAGGGGCTTTTTTCCCCTCATGTTGATTTGGGGTGTAGAGGGGAACTTCATCTTATATTCAAGAAATGCAGCATTTATGTGATTTACTATGTTGAAAGGTGTCCATTGCTATAAGCCACCTTGAACCTATAAAGTTAATTTGAGTGCAGTTATAAACATACCCAACATAGTTTGTAGTGGTATTGGAAGGATTCAGGACTACATATTTGGCATCTATTGATAAGAAAGTGTTTAGGGAGGCTACAGAGATGGGTGGGTGGCAAAGGATGTCTGGAATTGCTGAGATTTGTTGGCAGACAAGGTTCTTTGGGTAGATATGATATCTTTTATTAGACCAACTGAGTAGTTGGGAAAAAGTTCTTTGCAAGCTTTCAAGCACAATTACCTTTCAGGAATAGAGATTTTCTGCTGTTCTGAGACTCCAAGGAATGAAAGAAGCTAAATGTGTGACAGGATGTCATTGAGAGTGTAATCAGGTGGAAATTAGGAAAACAAAAGGTAGAGCATGAAAGGGAGGGGGAAAAAACAAAGGGAAAAAAAAAGCCAAAGGTAAGTAAGGAAGTCTCTACTGTACTAGTTGTTGGGCAGTGCAGAATGAATTAAGTAGCTGGAAGAGGAAAAAGGAAGGTTGGTTTGGGTAGAGTCTAAAGGGCAGGATTGGTGGGATCTGTGGTCTATTTGTGTTGAAGAGTATGGGATGTTTGGGGAGCTCAAGCTGGCTAAGAAGTGAGCCTGAGAAGTTAATCTGGGGTAACATTTAAGTGGTAGCACCAGGCCTTCATCCTGACGATCCCTTTGTTCACTTCTACCTTTGGATGCTCCCTGTCTGCCGTGAGAAAGGCCATGCTTTGTTCTGTCTTCGTATAACGCCTAGCACAAACAGGTTCTGGTCTGCGAATGGCAGCTCCTAAGATGTGACAAAATAGCAACAAATAATTGTTTGGTCTAACTGCAGACACAATAGAGCTGTGGTGGGTACCTGAGGCAATAAAACTACTACCCGGTCTGCTGTGAGATAAGTCTGCTTGATTGAAGGATGGTGGATTGTACTACCAATCACATAAGTGGTGCCCCTGCATCTGCCAGCCTGGAGGCACTCGATGATATTTAAAACATTACAATTTAACAAAGCATTTCTATATATCTAGTTAAATATTAGGTTTGTAATAATTAGTTTCCTGCCAGAAAATCAGGAAACCTGGATTTTATTGTTGCAAACCAGACTTTCTAGATTTCTAACTTCCAGGCGCATCACATGGATAAAGTATATCTTCAATCTGTAAAATGTCTGCCTTTGAAAGAACTGCACACTTTTTGTATGAAAGGCCCTATATTAGTGCAAAGTGGCAATAGGAGTAGCATGGCCTCATGAAAATAAATATTTACAGTTCTAATGCCTGCATTGGTATCTTTTTTTTCAGGCTGTGGATTCACTTAACATTTTTTTTCCTTTTATATTTTTTTTGCAAGCATTTTATATACTGGAAACACTAAGTTTAATTTGTTTTTATTTGGCTTTTTTTCCCCTGTAAGTTTGGATATGCCAAACAAATAGAAAAATAGGAAGTTTTTAAGGATATGAATGTCACATTGTATATTTATGGTTACTGTCTACTAATGGAGATTGTTTGTGGGGTATTTTAATATAGGGGTGAAAAGTGACTATCCTATACTAACTGGCATATATAAGCTTAAATCCTTTCCATAAATACTTGAATTAAAGGACAGCAGATGTTGAACAGAAGCTGTTGCTGCTTTCTGAACTTTATGGTATACGTTTTCAAAACCCACAGGAAGTGGCTGAGGGGAAAAGTATATTAATTATGTTCAAAAATACATTTTCCAGCTATAGAAAAACCTCCAGAGAAAATACCTTTTGATCTTCAGACATATGAACCCAGCTGTCACACAGTTTGGTGGCAGCAGGCTCCATTGTCGCATGGGGACCAGGTTCAGTCTTTAAGCTCTCTAAGCCAACACATTCTGGGAGTGATCCAGCTTGAGGCCCTTGGAAATAGAATATGTACGTCTCCTCTGGCCAGCATTCAAGGCACTGTAGGCAGTCTAGAGGAAAAACAGTTTTTTAGGTCTTCTCAACATGAGAAAACATTCCTGTAAGATCAAGAAAGAAGGAAGGAGGCAAAATATAATCACTCCCAGAATATCACCTCCTCAAACATTAAATATAATAATATTTTGGAGATGCTTACAAGTACCTTTTGTAAACTGAATGGTCTTCAACTGTTTGGTTGAGCTTGTCTTATTTAGTAATTTTTGCCTGGGTCTTGTAATAGTAATATGTCCGTTTTATGAAATGTTCAATACTATGTAATTCAGAGAGGCTCATCTCCCCCCAGCCACTAGTCTGGTGGTTACGGCACGTGGTTGGGATGTAGTGACTGCCCCACTGAGACCATGGACTTGAGGCTGGGTCTCCTTCATGGGCTTGCCATAACTCCTGATCTATAGCATTAATCTCTGGCCCAACAGTTATTTAATTATTTATACAATGTGGATCAGCTTAAACAAGATACATAGTCAGTCTCTCTCCCCCCTTAATTTATCAAGGACCCATCTAGGACTCCCGCATCCTAGGTGTTTTAACACCTGAATTATTGACTATTCTGCGGGGGGTTGGTTTCTTTCTTACCTACCTTCCCAATTTCTTCTCTGAGAAACTTTCCCAATGAAAGAAATAACTACCACCAACAACAAAAGAATTCATTGAAAAAATTTTAACCAGGTTTTATTTTCTTCATTAGGAACTTTCTTAAGAAATGTTGACCATTTTACTGAAAAAGTATACCCCTTCTAAAAATATGTTGTCTTCTAGCATATAAAAAGAGACAACATCACAAGGGAAGAAGGAATAAATAGCCTCTATAATAGTTTTTTCCTTGTTTAATGTTAAGCTCTTCTCTTACTCCCATTATATCCATACTGCTGCCTGTCTCTGTCTTCACACACACATTTAGTCACCAGTCTCATTTTTTCTCATCGTTTTGTCCATATCAGCCTCTTCTTTGAATCTTTCTGCTGATTTCCCCTGCTCTACTGCATCAACTTTAAACTTCTATCCCATTCAAACCCTGTTTCTTCCCCCACCCTAATAATCTACTCTTTAAGCATCTTCACTCACCAACTTTACTCCCTAAATTATGTCAATTTGATGCCTAATTCAAGCTGCTTTTCTCACAAACATTTCAATTCAAATCACCCACCCCCAGTGGAACGCCCCTTTCAGCTGGTCTGCAACTTTGCAACACCCTTAACGTTGAAATGTCTTCTGAAGACTACCTTATGTGATGATTATTCTGTTTATCCCAGCCTCCTCATTACCTATTTACTTAAGTACATTTTATATTGAAAACTCTGTATTAATAAAGTGTAGCCATTGGCTAATTTGAGTCTTCTTCATTATATAATGTATCCCTTTCCCTACCCCTTTTTCTTTTAGAACAGAAAAAGCTCTTGGGGACAAAGACTCACCTTACATTTGAAAAATGCTTAGCAAGTTGCGGCCCGTATTGGAAAGAATTCATAGCAGTTTCAAAGTTTAGCCAAAAAGGAAGATCAGCAGTATTATAATGTAAAATACTGAAAATAAAACTGGCATGGAGTATATAGTTTTTTCTTCCTTTTCTTGAACTTACTGTGGACCAGTAGCAAATGAGCTGGACTCATAGCGAATATGTAATGAGTGTAAACTTACAGTATACTGTGTCTGGATGATATTTAGACAACATTCTTGAACATAAAAATCACAGTGTTATCTGTCTTTATTATTTGTGTAATTGCAGAAGTGCATGTTTGTGATGCTTTTATAAATTATTCTCCAGTTAGATTCTTCCACATGCCTTGGAATGACCTGAGAGAGTAGTTTACAATAAAAGAGATGTACAAACCTGATAGCATCCTTAATTTCTCTCTCTGTTTTTTTGATGGGCTGAGAGGTACAGAATTTCCCTAGTATGCCTTATGACATGAATCATACCAATCTACTCTACCACCATATATCCACATTCTTGTTTTGTTTTGTTTTATTTTCAGTAAATCTAATTAGTTTCAACCGTTTTTTTTACAGCCCAACTGTACTGCAGTTGACAGAGCAATTGCTAGGCTAGCAGCACACCCACTCTTAAAGACAAAAATTGCTGATATTAAAGGTATGAAATAAACTGCTTAACCCTGTTCAAATGAGCATATAAATGTACTTGTTTGCTTACACATTATCTTGATTAGTTTGCTTTTACTGTAGGTCCAAACATAATATCTACATACAGATACGTGCAATGTTTTCCACCTGTGTTATCAGACCCAATCCAGTTAGCTAAGGTTACATCAGCCCTTTATTCTTTCCTAGCTACTCAGTAGTTTCTAAAACTGTCAATGGCATAGTCACTAGGAGAACTGTAATTATAATTCGTAAAATCCTAAGTTTCTTCTGCATTAACACTACTGTACATATAAGATAAAGAACCAGAGATTTTTCAGAAAACCTGACTTCCCTTACGCTCCTTTGAAAATCCTATCCCATTAATCCCCACTGTTCTCTGAGGAGACTAAGCAAGTTGGGCACCCATGACAGCTGATGCTGTCACCACTCACCCCACTGCCAGCGGGAGGTCTGGGTCTGGCCTGCAAGGCTCTTTCCATTGCACATCCAGCCTGCACAGAGCACTTTGATCCGGATCTGCTCTGAGGGACCAGGCAAGTTTGATGCCCCTGCTGCATAAAATATGGAATAGCATGACTAATGTTAAATTTTAAAAAATGCTGTTGGATCCTAATGACCAACTAACTGTCACAGCTAGCATGAATGCATACCTTTTGAATTTCAATATAGAAGTGCAGGAATGAATGAGGTTAGAGCCTGCACTCTCCCATCCTGCCTGTAGTGCTGATTCCCTTAAAAAGAGTTTGAGGCATGAGGCATGTGGGTTGTTACTGTGGAGAAGATTGTAGTTCCACTGCAGTTTACATTTTTTTTTTAATAAATATCCTTAAAATTAAAAAAAAAATCACAGAGGTAGAAGGAGAACAAAAAGTGAAAGATTTAGAAAAGATGACTATGAGAGAAATAGCTTATGATGAAAATAATCTTATTTAATAAAAGACAGGGTTAGATACCCATTATAATTATATATATGCATATTATTAGTGCTCAGTTTTCATACCCCAAATATCTCCTTACATCAAATTGTAAACTGCACATCTGCTGATAAGCTTATATTTGATTTTAGACTAGGTGTTTCAATAAGCTGGCCTCTTCCCCATTGTGATTTGTTTTCCACATTTCTTATTAATACTGATACTGTACTCTAAACCAAAGGTATCAAACAATTTGGCCCATGGACCTGCTCTGTCTGGCCTCCTGAGCTACCAGTGGGCAAATGAAAGTTGTGGGTGTATGGCTAAGGGGAGTAGCCTGCCACAGAATCTGAGGACCTTGGGCCCTAGTGGACCTGGCAGGTAGTCACAAGGTGAATGAGAGCTGATACAGCCCTAGCAGTTTTGCCCGTTGCCACCACCATGGCCCTGCCTTCTCAGCCACCAGGCCCACCACCACTGCCACATGCCAAAGCCACAGCTGTTGCCACTGTGTCCCCTGTGCTGGAGGTAGAGCTGTTGCTGCAACATGGGGCATGGGCATGTTGTAGGAGCTGGAGCTGCTGCCACTGCCAAAGTCACTTCGTGCCTCAAGCTGGATCTGGCCCACAAAGAGCCCTGTGGTCTGGATCTGGCTGAGGGCAGGAGGTGAGTTTGATGCCTCTATTTAAACCATTTTTAGCCCCTAATGTTACACAATATATAATCAAATACAGACACTGAAAATCCTATTTGTTAAATTATTTACCTTGCAAATTTTCAGTTTTTTTACATTATTTCAATTAATGTTTGTCTTGACATGTGTTGTTATCAAAGAACCTTCTGTTTATTTTTTTGCTTTTTTTTTTCTAGCTGCTGTAAAAGCCTTTAAAGCTGCAAGACAGACAGCAGCCAAAGCTCATTCTTCAGAGGAGTGTAAATCAGAACAACTTAAATTGGTGAAACATTCTAATAGCAATACAGAAGACCAAAATTTTGAATTAGTTCAAAAACAGAAAGAGGGCAGAAACAAAACGAAGGCGAATGTGAAAACAGATACAAACATACAGGGTAAAGAAATCGGTGAGAAAAAGTCCAATCAGGAGACTTTGGACTCTGAGAGAACATGCAATCCAGATGATCTTCCATTCCCAGCTTTGGAAACGCAGGCAGTCGTTCAGGCTGAAACAGAAAAAAGAATTGACAGGCCCAAAAAAAAGAAACTTACAGGTGTGAACAAGGTTATTGCTACTAAAGAGTCAGATAGCGATGTTAGTGATATTGAAGAAAATGACAAACATAAGGAATACTTTGATGACAGCACTGAAGAGAGGTTTTATAACCAGTCGTCAGATTCTGAAGATAACGATAGCAGTGATGATTTCTTTATCGGCAAAGTAAAGCAGAAAAAAAGGAGGAGAGTGGCAGACTCTAACCATTCTTCAGCAAAGAAAATACCCCCAAAAATGTTACTAAAAGCAGAAAAGGACTCGGAATTTGTGACAAGAAAGAATGTGAACACAGAAGTAAACAACCCAAGTGCTAAAGCAAAGAAGCTAGAATCTGTATTTTGCACTTCTTTGTCCAGCTCTCAACAGAAATCCAAAAATATGAGGAGGTAAGCTTCCCTTCTGTGCCCCACCTCACTTCACCTCCCCTCCCATTCTGTTATAGTAATAGAAATGGTTATGACTTTTAATATTGCTCATCAAATATGCAGACTTTCAATTAATCAATCAATCTGTATACGTCTAGTCATAGTATTCTGGCCTTTTTCCATACTTCCTTGACCCTTATGCCCTTTTTTTCAAATTCATCCCTGTTCTAGAAACGGCACTAGTTTGTCAGCACTCATTAAAGTTTTAAATTAATGATCTGGTTTAGATCTTCACAAAGCTGTGTAACTCAGTACAAGTCACCAATAAAAATCACATTTATACAACTTAATTTATACTAAGTTCTTGTAGTCGTTTAATAAATATCTCTGTTACACTTTAAACAGTTTCTGCTATTGTTTAACGATAGTGCTATATAGCAAAGATGTAGCAAGCTCATACGGCACCCATAGCAGTGCAGGAGTTGGGGAGGTACACTGATCACTATTGTGGAGAGGAGGAGAGGGAAGCAAAGTCTTACCTTCCCCAAACTCTGCACACTGAAGGCAACAAATGCATCGAGCTTCCATCTGCTGCTGTCCATTTTGGGGACAAATTATTTTTAGTTTAATCTTTTTTTTTTCCATGTTCCTTACACTTTTATTTTATTTTCAGAAATGTAAAGGAACAGCTTCCCAAAAACAGAAGAACAGGTATGTATTGGTAATATCATAGAAACCAAGAATAAAATTTTAAAAATCCTTTTGAGGTAGACTTAGAGTATCATAAAAAGAGCAGGGCTGTCATCTAGTCCAACCCCCTGCCTGAGGCAGGATCGTCCCTATCCAAACTGTCCTATACAATCTATAATCTACACTCTACATAAGACTGCCATCAACCCTGACACAACACAGACATAACACCCCAGCCTGCAACAGGTAAAGCAGGGTAACCATGGAAGCCCCATTAGGCTGGTTTTGCTTTTTGTTTATCAGTGCAGTGTCTTCTGTTCAAAGATGTTTTTGCCTAAACGATCAAACGTCAAATGATTGCACTTTAACTCAGAAGCACATATTCTTGTAGATATACATAATGTGTGCTATTAACTCATAATGGTCTGGAAAACAATATTTTTCTATGCAGGAGCCATATAGTCCTGCACTCTACCTTCCTCTGTGTTGAGTAGTTTACTGCATGAGTCTACTTCAGTAAGACTGCTCAGGGTAAAAGTTACTGTCTCAGACTATGGACAGGTGTTACATTTGTGCTGGGGAAAAGGTCTGTTTCCAACACAAGCCAAGGGGAAGGGAAGGAGAATGCTAGCGCTCTGGCCCAAGCTGTGGTGAGCTGTCGGAGCCCTGCAGAGACCACGCTGCTAGGCACCTGAACATTGCTGAGATAGGTCAAGCACAAACTCCTACTCTTTGAAGAGTACTGGAACCCCCAGTGACCATTAATCTTAACCATTGGTTCATTCCAGTGGAAGAACAGAAGGGTTGATTTATTGATTTATTTATTTAGTCATTTCAGTATTTTAACATGATTGTGGTTTTGGTAATTTTTGCTTTATGTTTCTTTTTCTACACCAAATTAGGTTTTTAGTTTCATATTGGAAAATGATATTTGGAAAGTGCTGTTTAATCCCTCACTGGTGAAATCAACAGTAAACACAGATTGTTGTGAGCCTTTAGTTCCCATGTGGTAATTAAATTCCACACAGGTTCTACACTTAGACCCCAGTGCTGTTTGGCAGCAGCAAATCATCTTGAGCATATTTGCTGTTCACAAAGTGATCATTTGCTGACTTGTAAGAATCTGGAGAACGCCTGACTTTAAAGCCATTGAGCCGTGAATAAAAGTGCATTCATGTGTTTCTTGTGCATGTGGTACACATGGCTCGTAAGGAATAGATCAGAGATTGTTTCAAACTTTGTATTGATACAATGGTTTCTATTAAATACCTACCATTATCTTCTGCCACTTTTAGCATGTGATTTTTCATGGTTTTATGAATGTTCATCAGATAATTGCATTTAATGTTTTGTATTGTACTTTATGCACAGCTTTTCCGAAAATGGAACCAGAGTTCAGGAAACACCAGCTTGCTAAAGCTGCAGGTATAAAGCATGAAAATAAGAAAGAGCATTTGCAGCAACCTCTTCATCCTTCATGGGAGGCAAGCAAGAAACGTCAGCAACAGGTGTCTCAAATTACAGCATTCCAGGGGAAAAAGATTAAATTTGATGATGACTGAACTTTTTTCATGTGAATTCAGATTTTTAAAGATCATTCTGAAGATTCAGATTTTAAAGAAGATAAAGTTCACAACTGACGATATTTACACATGAAGTAGCTGTGTATTTGGACTGGAGAGTACTTCTTATTTTTGGTTAAAATAATACATACAATGTTGTTTAAAAGCTGAACAGTCTACAGTGCTTGAGAACTACAAAAGTCTCTTTTTTCAAAATAATATTTACAATTTTTTCCTATATTATTTTCATTATATTGTCCTGATCTTGTGAAATGTGATGTAAATTTAAAAAACCTTTTTGGCATAAAATACCTATCCCAGATTCACTCATTTCATGTGCTTTATGAATAGACTGATTGGAAGTTCACATGGTATGGCTTTAAGGGTTGCCACCTGTGAAATGCTGATGAAAGTGAGCAAGTGGATCTATGGATGGAGTTTGTATCCTGTAGCGTGACAGGTTTTCTTTGTTTTCTACATTGGTATTTTTGTTATGTAAAGTTAGTTCAAGATTGCTATTTAAGGACCTCAATATGAGACACTATGGGAAAAACAAGTGTGTTTTATCTATGAAAAGACGTTGTTAATATTCCTTAATATGAACTGTATTAGAAATTGTGTAAAAAAAGTATACACTTACTTCATCTGGGAGAAGTTCAGAAGTCTATTACCTGAATAAGTTTGAATAAGGTTGATAAATTTATAAATGTGTCAAGGAAGAAATGCCAGGTAGTTTTCATGGAATAACAAATTCTAGGTAGGAATAAAGATTTAACCTTTTAAAAAAACAATGCCCATCTCTGATTAAATTAGTAGCTTGGATAACTGGCATAGTCATGTGTATTCTTTTCTGAAGGAACTCTTCAATGTTCCTCATTTTACATCATTTACACTTAGTTGCACAATTAGGTTTCATCCAACCAAATTCCTAAATATTAAAATTAGAAATGAGAGTGTAAAGAAAAATGTGCCTTCCAATCCATTTTTCTGATTTGTTCCTCCAAAGAGTTTCTTGTTCTTTCAGTCCTCTTAAATCAGTGGTCTCTAACTTTTTTATGGTGAAGATCACTTTTTGACACCTGAGATCTACGCTCTCCCCCCCCCAATGCCCCGGTCCTCCCCCACACCGGACAAGCCACCGGGGCTCATCCAGCCCTCCCAGGCAGCAGGAGATGTGTCTCAGTCCATCCACATGTGTCCTGGCACTCCTGATCGTGGAGCCTCTGACAGACTGACACACTGTCAGAGGCTCCACAATCGGCCAGTTGATCTCAATCAACTGGTTGGTGACCACTGTCTTAAATGGTAGAAAGGATGTTGAATGGAGATAGCTGTTTGGAAGCTCATAGAATTGAGGGGAAATAAAATTCATTTGAATGTTTTTCCCCATAGTTGGTTTTTTTTTCAAATTAGTTGTTTGAAAAAGATCTATAAATTTTACTGTAATTTCTTACACATTATAGTTTAACTGACTGTGCTACTCTCCTTCACAAACTTTGAATGAATTCCCAGAGCTTGTATTACAGCACTAGGGTTAAGATGTTGGAATTTGCAGGTCATATAACATACTGGTATTTAGGTCCAAATGAAGTTTTCTCTTTCTGAATGGGTGAGAATATTGGATTGTGTGTGTTCCAGGATGTTTTTTCTTCTCACTGCATTGGTTGAAACAGTCTCTTTGTGTGGTACATAAGGAAAGTTTATACCTGTTCTGAAGAATTCAAGCCACCCTTCTAGCATTAGCATCAAAGTAATCTTGCTGTATGTAAGCAGCCATTGGCTGTACTTAGGAACTAGGTTTGTTGTATTTTTGACCATGTGTTTTTCTTCAGGGAAAATCATGTTCTGAAGGGGGAAAAAATCCCCATCCTTTACATCATATAGCCAGGGCACACTTTATGTATTTTCTAGACAAGAATCCTTTTTTAAGGATTAGTTCTAGTTCAAACAATTTGATGTGCATTTTTTTCTGGTTTCAATAAAACACAGGAAATGCTTTCTCTCCTTTTGTTAGCTGTTATCACTTATAAAATGCTTCTTCACAGACTGCTAATATTTTCTGGGCAACTGCAAGTTTCCCAATTTTGACTCTCGTTATTGAGCAAATGATTGAAAGAAAAGCTGTAAATTTGAAATGTTAAGCAAATGTAGTGTCTACAATACATAGTTAGAAGCTGATTAAAGGTAAGAATTTTTGATCCTAAAGCATGTTTTTGTGTGTTTTTACATGTCCCTCAGGTGCCAGTTCTTCTTGGCAGATAAGGATTCAGAAAGAGACTTTCTAAAAGCTATAGTCTCTAACCATAAGGATATTCCTGAAGTCTCTTGATACATCAGAGCATCTTTCTTTTTAGTGTGCGGGCCGGGAGCGACCCGAGCCCTTTTCGCGCTGCACGCGGGCTGTGACCAGCAGCCCGGGCACGCCGGGGCGGAGAGGGAAGGCCTTCGAGCTGGAATTAGGCACGGACACGTATCGGTAGTTTTAAAGATTGTTTACTTACACCGAGATGGCAGTGGTGTAGGCTGGAAAGCTTGATTAAGTTGCAGTTACAGACAAACAACACAGACGGTCTCGTGGAGGTTGCTAGGCTCCACGGTGCAGAGCTCCGGATGCTCTGGGTGAACGAGCCACCAAAATAGGAATCGTAAATATGTCTTATAAAAGTTGCGTTCGAAGACGGGAAGAGGTGGGCGATGGATCAGGCCGCCACGCTCCTCTGGATCTCACACAGGGTTTCTATTACCCTGCCGTGTACCCTGAGTCCCCACGAGATGGATGTGTAGTCCTCTTCGGCTTGGGCAGAAACCGCTCAAGCCTCTTATACGGCTAACAAGCCAATCGTTAGCCGCCACGTGTGAATAATTTAGCACTAACCAATCACGGGGAACAAATTTGCATACCGGTGGCGGGAACTCTTTTGCACCGTGCATTCCTCTTGCAACATGAGCAATGCACTCTGCAAAAGAAGCTGCAGAAAAGGCGGGAAACTGGTTCCTGCACCGGGGTTTCCTCTGCTACAGGAAACTCTCCCGTGCAATGCTCTGCAACTTGACGGGGATAATTCTGGTGCCGAAGCGCGCGCACACAATCATGCCTTTTGGGTCATGACATTTAGTAAAAAGGCTTTTTAATTTTTCACAGGTAGATCCTGATCACAGACATCAATATTATTCCACATTTCAGTATTCATTGATTACAGTTTGCATCTACATAAATGAGAAGTGAGAGGTGTTTTTTACTGCCTTCCATGCATATTATGCATTATTACCATTTAGGTGAGGACTCTAAGCACCACTTACGTCACTATTGTGGTAGTTGCTGAATTGAATGTGTAGTAATGGTTGAGATTTGATTTGTTACAGGCTTGTAATTTCTGAAATTTCTCATAATATGGATCACTTAGCAAAACATATACATCTTTATGTAAGTCTACAGTGAAGTTATGTAATTGTTTGAATATTTGTTTTTAATAATGATCTTCTACTGAAAAGGAATTTCCTTCTTTGACTATTTATTGTTAACTCCTAACAAGCTTTAGCTAACTTGTCAGTACAAAACAACATCATTTTTAGTAAAGTTAGAGAAGTGATGCTCTCAGTTTCAATCCATGTTATCAGAAACTTATTAGATTGCACTTCAGGCACGTATCAATAGCTTAAAATGGAAATATTTTAAGAGAAATTGAAGTACTTGAAGAAAACTGATAGAAAAATGATGACATTACATTTTCAAGTTACTTTATAAGAAAACAAATTACTAATACTGCTATCCCTAAAGATTTAAAAGTAGACACACATACATGTTAAATTATATGTAGGGAATTTAGATAGTTACTGAGATTAGGCCCAGAACCAACATGTATTTCAGTGACTTCATTGGGTTTTGGAATCAGGCTGATTGGTTCCAAGTTTAGATCTGTCATTATCTCATTCTTTGATGTCAGGCATATTGTGTAACCTTAAGCTGTAAATCTTATGTTCTAAGAGGTCCAGAATGTAAGCAGTTACTGAAATATGTGCGAAACTCTTTGCTCTTCAAAGTGTCTCAAGTATATTTTCTGCTGTTGTCTATACTAGATACCTTAAGGTGCATGGATTGTTAGGCACGGGATTGTATTTCAGGTCAAGAAGCCATGCTTGTATTGGGATACAGTTAAGTTGTATTTCCTAATGATCTTCTGTATCTTGTCGTGGAATTGCAATTCTGTTGTGGTTTCTAGGTTCCCGCAAAAACTCTGCTTCTGCTACTTTGGTAAGATAACTTTGTGTCCCTAGTAAAGTGTGTTGACTTAGCTGTACCACAGACCAATCCACTGTTCTTGTATTGTTAGGCATTACATTAATATACTTACTTCCATGTTTTGTTTGTGTGGCAATTTTGTTACAAGTTCTGCTTTCTTGTTTTTTATTTCTATTAAATTCACGAGAGAGTTTTTACTGTGAAATTTATCCAGAATGACAAAACACTGCCCTGTAAGCTATATTATTAGTATGTGGGTTCAAATGGTATCTGGCTCGAAGTATCAGAGCATCATTGTTTGCTGTTGTGTCTTATTCACTGGTATTTCCTTTGACACTCTACAGAGATACATTACTTATTTCTCTAGCACCTAATGGCTGGCAGGCATTTTAAAGACCGATTAGACCACAAAAAATTTAATCAAAACCTTTATGGAAGTATGTTACATAATCAGAACTGGAACTGTGCAGTTCTGTACCCTGGGCATTGACAACATAGAGGGCAGCAGCTGCAGCTGGACTACTGATTGTGGTGCAGCTGCTGGGAGTGCAGTGGCTGCAATTGTTGCACACCCTCTTTCCCATTAGTTGGTGTATGTAATGCCCTGAAGGTCACTAGATTTTGACACACTTGAAAAAGGTACAAATTCCAGAGTTGAAGCCCTTCATTTTCATTGTGCTTTTGCCTCTGAACAAGGGGTGTTTTAAACTTAGATTCTGAGCTGGCACTTGCAGAGGACTCTTGTTAATGCTTTGCTTAAAACAAAAGTAAAACTGCAACCCCCCCCCCAGTTCTCATTGCCCTCTGTGGACATTTTAAAAACATTCCTGCCACAGATGAACTAAGACTTAGGGACATAACAAGCTTCCATAAAGAGCATTTTTTCTTTTTAATTTGCAGCAGACAGCTGTTATTTTCAGTGGGGAAGATACCAAGAACAACTAAAAGAACTTTGCCTCAACCCTCCTAATTATATGAGGTAAACATTGCACTATAGCATGGCTATTCTTGGTAGTTTTCAAGCATGTGGCACTTAACATCACTGGCAAAGAAGCTATACTGCTCCCTTCCTGGTGAGAGAGGATTTTGTGTTTCAGTGAATAGATCTCCCCTGTCCCTTACCACTGTTCTTGTGAAAGCATGAGCCACCTCAACACACTATTTAGCATAAACCCAAGAGAATAATTTATGGGAATCCCGTGTTCAAAATACTCAAGACACTTCATTAATCATAGCTGCCATGACATGGTACAGGGCTGTCTCAGATAACTGTATCCCAAACCATTCAACATCTATATTTCACGGATCTAGATCAACATCTAGATTACACAGGTGTTATATATTTGTGCTGAATTTCAGTGTATATATAATAAGTAGAACTGGTAGCATCACCAGCATGTAAGGCTGCCAGACAATTCCCAATAGACACCTTGTTTTCAGCTGCTTCTAATTTTGCCAGGCTCTAAATGCTTTCATTTTGACCCATATAAAACCTATCCAATTACCCCTGAAGTTGGTAACAAAGACTCCAGCTGACATTGGTGAAAGATGGATGAGGCCCATGTTGCAAAGCATACTAGCCAAACACTCTTAACACTTGAAACATTTTATTCAAGTAATTTTCACATAAACTTGCAACCATAATACAGGCATGTAACAAGAGAATATAAAAGTGCAACAAGAATATAAAGCTAGTGTCTGAATATTATAAATAAGAGCTCTTCAAATAAAGATACAAAGATTTTAAAACTAAGACTCTTGGGGGGAAAAGGAGTGAAGGAAATACTGAAAATCCCTTCAAAAGCTGCAAAAACAAGTGGCATTTCATTGAATTTGTAGCATTTAGTTGCAAAAAAAAAATACCAATAGAATACTCCTTGCTTTTAATTCAAGTTAAAATATTTCAGCACCTTTTTTAAAAGTATCTGTAGGATGTGAAAATACCATAATTAGCACATTAATATGAGGCACAGGATAGACCACCTTGAATGTCATGAATGAAATTCACCCTGCTGGTATGAACCCTTACAACTTAAAAAATGTAGACATATAAAAGGACTAGAAAAAAAAATGTTGATGTTCACGACATTCAATACTACACAGTAACTTTTGGTGCAAACAGAAAATGACTAATTTTAATAGCATAAAAACATCATCTACATGATATGTTGGTTCAAATGATGACCAATCTGTCATTTTAGTAATATTTTTATAGAAAAATGCAAATATTATCAAACTTGTATCTCAAGACTTAAAAAATATAGAAAAGGCCTCTTACAATGAGTCTGGCGTATGGAATGTTCTTTGTGTGCAACATTTATATAAAGATCTGAAATGTGGGAGGTAATTGCTTCACGCACGTTCTAACGTTTTAGGTTTTCAAAGGAAATTCAAAACTGAACAAAAGAGTATTTCTGTACTTCTGAAATATCACAAAAGATGGGTCTGATCTTGCTCCCATTAAGGCCAATGGCAAAGCTCCCTTCAAAGGGAACAGTAACAGCCCAATGCCTAGTAAAAATGATTGCACAATATACTTTGTTTTATAAAATAAACTCTTTTATCAAAACACATTTTTTAAAATGTCAACAAAAATACAAGTATTCTCTTTAAATATATTCCAGCATGAAAAAGTAGTTTAGGGTATCTGGGTCAAACCTAGAGAGCCAAGATATTGAGAATGATGACTGGCACTCTCGTTTAGAAATGTTAGCTCATATGCTAGGTAAATCAACTGTTTGTCTATAATGCCTCCTGCATTATAACTCAGCAGGATAAATAAAGACACTATTTTCCAATTTTTAATCCCTATTCTTTATTCAAGGAAGACTATGATCTTGAACAGATTTTTTGTCCTTTCTTCTCCCTTTGTTTATAACAGTGGTTTTCAACCTTTTTTAGACTCAAGGCACCCGTTAAAAAATGCCAGGTCTTAGTTTTCACTTCTTTCTTCACTACAGAAAAATAATAGAGCAATTCTTCTGTTGCAGGAAAATACAACAGGTCAGAGTGTTGATGCTATGGATTTCTGTTTGAAATCTCTGGTTTCTCTTGTGAATTGTGTAGGTGGTTGCACACCTACCAGTACTAATATCGCACTATACCCTTAAAAGGATCTCATGGCACCTTAGAGTGCCATGGCATCTGGGTTGAGAATCACTGGCTTAAAACAAAAGTGCATAGTTTTTAAAGTTTTACAGTATTTGACCAAAGAAAAGAGCTACCACTGACTATCTGTTGAATACACTTTACCTTTTACTCAGTCACTGAGTCCTAACAATCAGAGCAAATAATACTTATGAGATTTTTAAATCAGTGGACCATTTTGCAGCCCAAACATCTGCACTACCAGCCAGAATGTGTCCTACAGAAAAGCTGAAAGTACTCAACAGGTCCTTTATTTATACTTCCATCATTACTGAGGTATTAATTGGGAGGTAATAGAATTTATTTTCCTATGGCTGAGTATGGAGTGTGTCCCTCTAATCCTGAAGATGCTCTAAAAGCCACAGGAAAATACAGGTTTCAGCACATCTAGACAGAGTTAAACTCCTCCAAATGACTCACTTAAAACACAATGCCTCAGAGTACCTTCAGCACCTCAGGTGCCAATAAATAGATGATCTCAGATGTGCTGTTCACCAAAAATTACTTTGAAGAGATACAGCTGTTCAGAATAATGCCAGTTTAATTTAGTTACCTGCTGCTTGCTCCACACAGGTGTGTCTATGGGGAGCCTCACTGACTTTTAGTGCAGCTCCACATGTATAAGCTGCAGGATCAAACCAACTAACTAGATTTGAAAATGTGGCCTAAATCACTTTAGGGGAAGAAGATATCAATGCAGCTATATCTCTTTACAGGTATTTCTATTTGGGAAAAAATATCACTCTTAAAACATTTTTCTGGGGCTCATACCTTGAAAACCAAACTTCAGATATGTTTGCAGTGAGTTATAATACAGAGAAATAGGATATTGTATTGAAAAATAAAGGCACACATTAACTCATGATATGCATATAGTAAAAGTACCAAGCATCTAATGTTCAAACTTTTCTGTTAGAGTTAGATGCATACATTGGCAATTAGTATAAATTAAGTGTTTGATCAGTGAAATGAAGCATGTGGAAAACTTTGGAGCCTGATGACATAAATTGTACTCATTCTGTACTCAATTATCAAACTGAGCATGTGATCTTCAAAGGCTGTACCCTCTGAGTTGATGGTCCTTTAGTCCTCACTGTCCACTTAGGTACGTACTGATGTTATAATTGTTCTGTTATTATGCCATAACCTGATCAGGATTTGTGCAGAAGCTTTTAATAATCTTAAAAACAAGAAACTGAAGTATGTACTGAAAAGAAACAGGTGTGGTCCCTAGCCCTTAAGGTTATCCTGACATCTCATACATTTTACAAATTAAATTTCTATGGTTCTTTTGCATGGAATTTTCCCAAATACTGATTAAAATGTTCCTGTTAATTTTAAGAGAACACTTCCTATTTCTCAAGCTATTCAATGCTTTCTTATTTTAATCAACAGTATATTTTATTACTACTCTGAAAGTCTTTGAGCATTGGCTGTTACGTTAGGTGTTGGCAGTTGCTGGTTGAGCACAATCAAATCAGGGTCACTCTTTCAAGAGCAAACCATGTAAATTGTACCATCAGTACTGAAAAACTGCCCGGGCTCTTTTATAAGAACTTATTTCACAGTCTAAAAAAAATCACAGCTATTTTAGCTTACAGCATGGTCCATTACATAAGCAAATTGTGTCTCTATTTTGGGAACCATCACTAGTAAGCAGCATAGACTATCTTCTTAATTTGGGACAAAGTTACTCACTTTAAAAAGTTTAATGATGAGCTCCTGAACAACCTAACTAAAGCATTTTGCATATGTCAACTATCAGTCCATGAATATTGCATAATATTTTAATCCTTGAATAATACAAATGTGCAATTAACAATCAAGTACAGTACGTAATGTAAAATAACGTTAATGGGAATACAAGTAGAAGGCTTTTCTCATAAAGAAAATCCTGATAAACCTTTGATCGACTTTTATTTGTGGTGCCACCTGAGTTGACTGCCACTGTCAGTTTTTTCAATTGGTTAACCTGTTCAGTTTACCTTTGTTTTCACAGATTATGATGACATCAGGGACTGTCCAATGTCTCTTTCAGTAGCCTAACTTCTGATGGACAGAAATGCATTCTAATCCACATTACCCACACTGAATTCATGGTAGATCTTTTTAGGAGTTTACTTTAAAAATCTCTGTTCCTACAGAAAGGTGGCTCAGTTCTCCAGTTCTATTCTAAAAGATAAAATAGGCCCCCACATATTCTTTAATTTAAGAAAATGGTTTGCCTATTAATATATTAAAAATGTAAACAAGTGTCATATGCAGGGGGTAACTAATGCATATATAAACATTGCCGTGCATTGATATCCCTTTTAAACTGAACATACTTCTCATTTGCATTAAATGAATCCAAATCAATCTTACTGTAATGGCAGGAGCACCGTTCCCAAGTTGGTCTTTGTTTTGGCATTCATTGGGCTAGCTAACATTAGTTCTTTCTACTGCTACCCCTTAATGTTTTCAGTTCATTCACAGGCAATGTATTGATCAAATCCTGCTGTTATCTGCACTCTGATTTCCAGTAGAGTTAACGAAACAGTTATGTTTCTGTGAATGACTTGATTTCCTGTAAAATTTGAAAATCTGTGCATGAATCACCATTTCCACACATTTCAATCATTTTTTTAAAAAGCAATGCCAATTTGAATGCCTAAAATCCAGTTTCAAGTGTTGTTATGAAGCAGCCATTATGCTTCAAAATCACATAAGGTAAGGGTATGTATGTATGTGTACTCTGAATTTGTTTTTATGAAGTGTTTACATCCTATTGAATTTATATAACATTTCAAATCAAAACACTGGCATTGACTCATCCATTTTCTTGCATCTTAGTATCTATTAAAAAAAGGAAAAAGAAACAGTTGTTAAGAACCACAGCATATTAAACAAACTCATTTGCTTAATACCAAATTAGTATTTAATCAAATAAATCTAGGTATGTTAAATCCAGTTTATGCATCAACCTGAACATAGCAGTACAAAAGGGATGAAAGAACCTTTTCTCCTTTCTGTCTTCATGAATGCAGCTATTTTGTTAAACTTTGGGAGCTGAAAAGGGGAGGGTGCAAAGCAAAATAACTTTGTATAAATAACTCTTCCTGACACTGAGTTTAAGTGAAAAAACACTGTATTACTGGGCATGCTAATTAATCTACTGTAGGAGACGCTGTGAAAGCTTCCTTTCACAGGTCTACCAAAAAATCATCACTTGACCTGCAGTTGTCAGTTGTCCTATTGTTCTGCTTCTCAGTCTTCCACAAATGCAGGTGGTAAGAACAAATAAAGGACTAAGCCAATTATGTTTAACTTGGTGCTTTTATGACATGAGTGTGATATAAGCCTAGAATCTCACATGGGTGAAAATATGTGCATCGTTTTTAGCCCAGTTTTATAAGTGATCTCACAATACAAAGTACTTTTTAGTTCATTTCTGCTTTAATTGACTACAAAGTGCAAGCATCCAAAGAGCTAACAAAAACAAGCAAACAGAGTATTCCCGGAAAAAGTATGCTGGATAGATTTTCTGTGGCGGCAACATAATACATAAGGAGGTGTTTTTACTGTCTTAAGCAGATAGCTAAAAGTCTTTTAAGAGGTTTGGGTGATTCTGTGTATAGGAATCAGATGAACAGCTGGAGGTTTGTATGTGTATGGAAATTCAGGGAGTGGTTAGTCAGTGTAGTATTGGGAACCCAGTTATAATAGTACTAATCTAAAAATCCCTATAAATTGTGTCAAAGATTTCAAAAGCAACATCTTGTCACAAGAATTTTAGAGGGTGTCCTTGCACAAAAAGAGGGACAGATCTTGATAAATGTTTATAGTGTCCTAATTGTTAACCTTCATTTTATGAGTTTATGGTAGTTGCAAACAAGAATGTACTTACGGAGAAATTGTGCAACCAGAAGCATATGCATGATGGCCTGTATATCGGATATCGCATCGTACTACATTGTTGGAGTAATCGGACTCTGGTACCAAATAGCTAGGGTTTACACTAACCTGTGAGGAAGGAAAAATAGTGTTTACTTCAGGGCTTAATTTGATAATGTAGCTTGCTAGCTTAATAGGAATCTCAATTGTTTTTTTAAAGATAGCTTCAAAATTATAACCTCCCTGACATCTGACTCCCCAGGTACCTCTCCACTATTCATCCCCCTTCTTTCCCCCCCCACACACAGCCTGTCTCACACCCCCAGACACCTCAATTTACATCTTCACTGACTGCCTATCTTGTATGCATACCAGCCCAACCTCTGGCTTCTTTACTTTTCATTCCATCCAGGAAGAGCACACACCAACTGCAGAGACTTCCTCAGCCTAAGGGTTTTGAAACCCAAAAGCTTACTTAAAAATTTTTTCCAACTATTTAAGTTGGTCTAATAAAAGATATCAGATTCACCCGAAGAACCTTGTATACCTTCAAAATGTAATTTCCAGGTTTTACATCTGTAATATCAATCCATTGGCAATCTATATCAGCATTGTAGGTATCATAGCAGCCAGGGCTCAGTCCCTAAAATGTGGATAGATGGAAACAAGTGAGTCTAAGGAACAATACTTTCAGGTATTAGCAGCATTAAGACAGTGGGGAGCAAGAGGGAGTTAATACCATCATGCTTCCTTAAGGCACATCACTGAGAAACAGAATTGCACGTCAGTGAATGAGTTTAATAGCTGACTTTGAATTTAAATAATACCTAGCTTTGAAACATCACAAACGTTGATTACTTTGTTTCTATTGTCAAAAACTTATCAGAACATACATTCACAAAAGTGTTTAAAATACAATTTTAAGGAAAAAAGAAAAGCTTCAAATAAAAATTCTGAAATACATCTTATACTTTATTCACTTCCATGATTATTTTTGAAAATGTGTATTTGATAATTTACACAAAATATTTAAGCATTACTTGTAGTAAGCAATCCTACTTACTTATACATATTACTAACTGTATTGCTTGGTGTTGTTTATTTACAATCTTTTCAGACAAAATAAGGCTTAACCAGGTTTGTAAACCTCAAATTACATTCCTAAAATGAAACTGATTTGATTGCCAGTGGCAGAGCCTTTGACTCCTCTTAAGCTACGTGCTTCCTTTGACATCAAGATTAGTCTGCAGCCATTCATAAAAGTGAAGTACTTTCTTGTAATAGAAAAGTCATGGAGTTAAAGAGGTATTTTGATATTTACTCTTATTAGGAAAATGGCCTAATAATATAATATTGTTCAAATAAGTAAAGGTTTTGAAATTTCAGAAGTGATCACAACAATTTTGAGGAAATCCAAAATGGCAGTAGAACTGTTTCCAAATTGATCTACACAAAAAAAAAACAACCACTCCATTGTTAGGAACAGAAGAGGAATGGCCAAACTGAGAGCTTACCACATTTTAGATCTTCAACAGTAACTAATATAGGCTGTTTTAGAGAAAGGTGTCCTTCTAGAGAAGTGTTGAACTTGTAAGACAAAGCTATGGAGGAACTCCCTCCTAACTCCAGTGGTATTCAACTTGTCCCACTCCCTGTGCCAAGTTTGAGGCTGGAGCAAAGTTTTACAGTCCAATTACAAACTCCTGAAAATATGGGTTTCCAATGGAAATGCTGACACAGCCTTGACTAGTGACATAAATACTCCAGCTGTAAAGTATATTCATTGCTTAGTTCAATGATGTTGTCTGCACAAGATAAAAAGATATTTTTAAACCCTCTTCAAAGCTTTAACATATGTAGATCATGCATTAAATGTAGAGTTTAAATGTGGACACATCAACCAATGCAGCATAGCTGGTATTTCCCAATGATAAAATTACTACCTCATCTCTTATTTTTTCTGTTTTTTTTAAAAAGGGACATATTTTACTGGCTATGTTCACACAGCTCCCAATTTCTTGAATGGCTGTAATACATGTGAACAGAGCAAAATGCTATGCTGTCAAGGACTCCTCCAAGTCCTTTTGATAGTAATGGAAGTGGAGGCACTCAGCATTTTATTTTACAACAACAAGATCGGAGAGAATTAGCCATTGGTTGCAGCCAAACAGCACACTACAAATTTAGTGGAAATATTTGGAACTTAACCCACCTCTTCATTGTCCCCAGTCCTGGGATACCCCTGTAAGCTGACAATGCAGTACTCTAGATGTAAATTGTATTAGCTTGGTGTCTGTTTTGATGTGAACTACCTGCCAGTGAGCTTGGGTTGCAAGAAAGACTCAGGACTCTCCAGTCCTAGCAACTAGAATTCCCTTCATGGCCAATGAGGAAGGACAGTACAACTTCTGCCACCCTAGCCTTATACCACTAGAATATCCCCTACGTTGGGCCGATTCTCTCAGATCGGGTCAAGGTACCTTAGAATTGGAGCATATATTGATAAATATAAATCTCAAGGAAGACAATTTTCAAGAAAAAAATGTTTGTTCACTTACCTGTGTATGTGCTGTACACGCATATCGTCTATAATATCCATAATCACAGGAGGTATCTTCAAGACAAAAACTTGCTTTGTGTCCTTCTGCAACTTTTCTATACGAGTTGGCATCCAGCAAGTCATAATGGCTGAATTCATCCATGCTGTGGTAATGTCTATTAAATCATAGGTATATTAGTAATTTCAGATGTAGCCAATACATCATTTACTCATCTTGGCATTAATCATATGTTCTCTACTTAATCCACATACTAAGAGAGCTCACCAAGTTCTTTTTGTTACTTACAAATTGTGGGTTAGTATATTTCCTCTGTAGGCCTGTCTTTCAAGTTTTTACTGTTTATTATTATTCCAGTTTTCATTCATTGTAAAGAAAAAACAAAAACAAAACTTGTATTCAAGTTGGTAAAGAAGAGGCTGTACAATTCATTTGGTTTTCCAAAATGTCCTGTTTCATCTCTTACAAAAATAGCAAATACGAAATTCTTCACATTTGACTGGTACATGTTATAAGTCTTTGCCTTCAGGCATAGTTTGGCTGGAAATGATTACCTGACATGCTATGAATTCCAAAAAAGTTTGCTATTTCTGAAAGTTACTGAAGTGTTAGGGTTATTTTTTTTTCTATTTCTGGGATTCCTCGTGTGATATTTTATAAGTTTATCAGCAAACTATCCACTCTAAATAGAGAATTTACATAGTATATATCAGATACCAACAGCCAAAAGACTTGTTTACTTACTGTATATAGATTGAAATGTGATGTCTCAGTGTGTTTGATCATTCTAAACTACTGCAGAAAAAATTGCTTACTTCATAATATGTGCTGTTGCTGTGTATGCTAAGAAGTACCCTAGATCCTATCTGTTGGCTCTAACACCATTTTTCCTTGCAGTTTTACTTTTCTCACATAGATGGAAAATGCAAACTGAAGTCACCTACCTCAGCAACTTGCCTGCATTCTACTACTGTTCCCTTAGCACACTGTGTGTATGAAAAAGAAGAAATGAAATAATTCACTCACTCAGAGTGGCCCAGGGAATGATGGTAATGAAAAATCACCATCTGATAGCTAATCAGTCACAAATTAGTTGGTACAGTTCTTTTCCTCATGGACTAGTTTGTGTCATAGGAGTAATCACCAAAATTGCCATTTTCATTGGAAATCTGTTTGAAGTCCCAGGACTGAATGAACATTCAAAGTGGACTATTTTCTGCACCCTCTGGGGCAGGGTTGCCCAGTTTCAGATCACTGTCCATAAAATCAGCTCTCATATGCATTAATTTTACTTTTTATTTATAGCAGTTATGAAAGGTTTTTTGCTTATGGGAATTGTATAAAAAAATTGTAAGCCATGAAAAAAAATTGCCTATTCTGTGCTAAAAATGTCTCTTGATAGTAAGTTTTCCAGCAAGAACAAAAGCAGCTTTGTACGTCTGATCACGTGAAGATAAAGGCCTGGTCCAAAGTTACCTGAATCCACAGAAAGTTTTTTTTTCTTTTTAAACTCCCTTTGAACTCCGTTTGTGGGACTTTGGAGGCCCACAGGAACCTCATTCCCTTTAGTGCATTATTGCAAGCGTTTAATTAATATTAATGATTTTAGGTGCCTACACCTATAGAATAACATTTCAAAAAATGTGAAGTTAAGTAAACCAAATATACTTTCTCAGTGTACTACATATGAACCTAATACAAAAGAGCTGAACATAGAGCAAGGTTATACATTTTTATAACTATAACCCTTGATAAAAGGTACAAGTGTTGTTTTGTCAGGTCCTAAAATGTTATGATGTTTATTTTGGTAAGAGTCCAGCAATTCTTCAGGGATGGTTTTGGCTGAGTAGCAAAGTGAATGTGGATATGTTGTGGCATGATGGAAATTAGTGGAGTGCCAACCTTTTTGACAGGCATGCCATGAGTTAGCCCTGTACCCTTCCCAAGTGCCACTCTAATCTTCCCTTGCCTAATCTGTTGCTCTTTCTGCTCCCTACTCTGTGCTCCCTGCGCAGTCTCCTGCACTTTCTGCTTCCTGTCTTGTGCTCCCAGCCTGATCTCCTGATCTGCTTTCTGCCCTAGTTGCTGCTATACTTTGTGCATGTCTCCTCCCTGATCTGCCATGTGCCCTACAGGTTGCCAGTGCCACTTGTAGCACTTGTGTCATAGGTTGGCAACTCCCATGTAGATGATTGTGATGATAATAAAGCCATAGGGTTTTATATGTGCACAAGTGCTTAATAAGAATAATTCCAATACTTGTCTGTTCTCCAATAGTAATCAGAGTGCTACTTATAAATCACTGACCCATGAAATACAGGGGTCACTAAGAGGACCAACTGACATGCAATATTATAGTCTGTGTGTGTGTGTGTGTGTGTGTGTGTGTGTGTGTGTGTGTGTGTGAGTGAGACTAAGCTTACATTTAGCATAATGAATAGTAATTTTAATAACTTTTTAAATTAATTCTACTCCTACTAATTATCTACTAATTTAGCAAAGGAGATGAATGAATATGCCTTTATAGCTAAACTTATTTGCTTCTAGACTTCTGTATTTACAGGTGAGTTAATGCCACTTATTTTAATTTGATTCTCCATCCTTACACAGATAGCTATACGATGAACTAGAACCATAAAATGCGAGGGGCTAGTAAAATCCTAAAGTCTTCCTTTCCCCACCAGAGAGTAGCAGAACACGCCACATTACAAAAACCGGGGAAATAAGGAAAAAAAATAATTAGAAAGGTACCATACTGGGCATTTCACTCACTGGTGACAGCTGTGCCACTCCCATGAATATCGGGGTCTGCTTGGTAGAAAGTCTGATGTGCCTTGATTTTTCACTCTTTGAGGAAATCTCAGAAGCACTCGATTATCATAGTCTCTGACATCTGATCTGTAAGCTGAACTGTAAGGATGCAAAAGAGGCATAAGTATGTTTAGAAAATACAAAAGAGACACTTTAAAATGTTTCTTAAGTAGGTCTTGCTATAAACTGAAATTGATGATTTAAATGATACTCTAGTATCACAACTACTGAAAATTAACTAAAGATCCCAGGTGAAATGGTCATAAGCCATTGGTATTAGATCCATGCTGTAATAGCACTTTGTAATAACAGTAATAACTCACTGCTGCTTGTATTGATATTAATGGCAGATTTGCCACCAAGTTCAGCAGATTTTGACCTTGGTAAACACAATTTTGAAATCAGTTGATACTTAGGGAAACTAGTGGCGTTTAACTTGTGGTGCCAAGATCTGGCACTGCTAAGCAGCAAATGACTGTATAAATGGCTTTGCTTGGTAGAAAAACTGTTTTTTAGTAACTGCTATAAACCAAAATATCTTATTGTCACAGCCACAATATATTTTGTTTCTAGTATAGTTTAAAAGGACACATTTATCCCTAGGGCTTGGGCTGTCTTAAAACAATTACGATCTGAAGATCAATAAAATGCTTTTCAAATAACTGTTATTGTAAGGCCCCCTTAAACAAGTTAGTGTTTCGTTGGCTATCCGCTGCATGGAACTCTTTCCAAAACTCAGCTGACACAAATTTATGATGCTGGTGCATAAACAAAGCTGTTTTGCATGATAAGGCACTACATAAGTTGTTAGAAACGGCCTTCATTTCAGTTCCAATCAAAACAGGAAAAATCCTTCTTTGCCAAGTGGACTGGGATAAACTTGATAGCAACGGTTTTGTTTCAAGTTTGAGAGTTGTTGCAACCATTTTTTAAATGGGTTTAAACCTTACAGGGGTTGCACCATATAATTTTGAATTGCTTACATTGATTACAAAGCAGCATTTCTAAAAGAAATGCAACAGGATCGTTGGTTATTAAGATCGGGGAGGAGCAGGAGGAGAGCTGAAAGGGAACAGATTCCAATAAAAACCCTAGACAAGGATTTTCACCAGTGATGAGTCATTTTGGGGGGCAGTTCAGGTATGCTTCTTTAAGAAGCCTGGTTTTTAGCAAGCTCTCCTCTCCCCCTTCTGAAAAGCAGGCCTTGGCAAGACCCCTCAAGGGAGCTGGGCTCCCTAGTATGAAGACATCCGAAAGCACTTGTAACTTTATAAAATCTTGTGTTGTAGATCTTCCTTGTCTGCCTCTCACCAAGGTTAGAGATGCCAGTCAAGCTAGAGAGAGGGCCTGCTCTCCTTCTGTGGCTGGGAGCTGCAAAAGCACCACTCTGGGGGGGGGGGCAAGGAAAAACATAGCCATAACTGCCTACCTGGCCAGGCAGTTCTCCTCAGCAGCGCACCTCAAGTTGTACATGGACATCCTCTGCACGTACGTGGACGCCTGGATGTAATAGGGATCCGGGACTAAGTCAGGGAGACCTGCAGTGCATCAAACCAACCACACAATGGCAAGGATCAACCCGGGACACGTCTGCAAACAGGGAGCTGCGCTCCCAAGCACGATGTAGGGGGAGGTCATGTTTGAGCTAAGCTGTGATGGGGGTTGGAAAATTGGGCTTGGAAGAGACTTTGGTAGGCCATCATTCTAGGCCAACCCTTGCTCCACACAGGACCAGCCCCAGCTAAATCATCCCACTACAGCTTTGTCTAGTCAGGTCTTAAAAACCTCTAGGGATGCAGATGCCACCACCTCTCTTGGTAACCTGTTCCAGGGTAACTGGATCTCATCTGATTTGGTCTCAGTCTTAACCCATTCCCCCCCCCTCCCCCACCCAGAACTGAAGGGAGTTGCAGCACCAGCCATGCCCACTGTGCCCCTATTATTGCACGGAGGACTCCTGCCCATTGTGACGTAGGCACAGATCACCTCTTGCCAGCGTTGCCAGGTCTTAAATATGAAATTATTGTATTGGAAGCTCAAAATGATCACATTTGCTAAGAGAGTAACCCATACTGAAAAAATATGCAAATAAGTATGCAAATCAGCCATCATCTTATTTACTTCATATTGCTCACTGTAGCTATTGAGTAAGAACTGGGTCAAAGCCAAAGCATTTTTTGATTTTGAGGCAAGCAGTCGTAAGAAAGTGCTGCCAGCAAACCCAAAAGTCAGTTACAACTCCCTTGAGAATGACTTGGGTCCCGCATAGGCTCCATAAGTGAGCTGCCTCAAAAAACAGCATATGTTTTGAAACCCAGGGGAACCACACTGTCCTTTACCTCCCTTGCACATGATGAAGTTTATTTTCTTTCTGGGTGTAGGTTGTAGCCATGTTGGTCTGAGAACACAGGCAGACAAGGTTCTTTGGGTGAATCTGACATCTTTTATTAGACCAATTAAAATAGTTGGGGAGGGGGAAAATTTAAAATGAAGGGTTTTTAAAACCCGAAAGCTTGCTAAGAAAAATGTTTCCAGCTAATTAAGCTGGTCTTATAAAAGATATCAGATTCACCTAAAGTACCTTGTCTTTTCTAAGTTGCTCTTATAAAAAAAAATATCAGATTCCCCTGAAGAACTTTGTCGTTTCTCCCTGGGTGCACTTTTACAATCTTTGAGCTCTCTTCTGCCTAAAGAAGAGTGTTTGGACCCAAGAGCCTGCCAAGAAAGCTACTGTTGTTTGCTACTATGTAGTTGGTCTAATGGGATCAGGAGAGCCAGGTCCACGTACTGATCCCTGGTAAAATCTCGGAATGGACAAAAACACCAAAGCGCACAACGATCAAGATCCGGACGCTGTTTTTGTCAACAGGAGAGAAAGCGGTGTGATAAAAGCTCTCGCCCCTCGCGCGAGTGTTTTGTCCGATGTTGCTTTTTACACGGACGGGGCCACAAGCTGTCCCCGATCCGACACGGAGCGCTTTCCC